TCTGACAGCACGGGCATCCACACAGAGCGGGGAGAGAAAGGTAAACATGGCTTTTAAAGGCCTCATTAGACAGAGAAGGAAATATTTAATTGTTCACAACTGTGAGTTTCTGTTAAAAAAAGGTTTTGACCCCAGTCAGGGAAGTTTTAACAGAGACAGATCAGATCTCTGGAAAAACAAAAAGGCAGACTGTGACTTTTTAGTGTCATAGTATGGTTTTAAGGACATGAGTGACTGTTGTGAGGGCATTTTAAGAACAAAGTGCACAGAGGTTATGATAAATTGAAGATACCATTATGTCCTTTCATAGTAAATGAGTGTGAATGAGATTTTCAATGTCAAATGTGGATGGAACAGAAAGAGGAATAAAATTTTGTCTCCTTTATAGTTTATATTTTCAAGGTCATAAAGGTTATTATGCTGTTTAGGCTTTTTATTGTATTATTTAATATATAGCCATGGAAGCAAATGATCTGTCTCTAAAATGATATGAAATAAAAAGCCTTAAACACCCAGATGATCAATCTTGACATTTGGAAACAGTATTTAAGCTCTTACTCCACTATATTTAAATATCTATATTTACTAGTTGATTTTACATTAAAAACACATGACCATTTAGAAAGTAAAGCCACCAAACATTATAAAGTATTAATTAGTTCAGCCATGACTACATTAAAATGCTGCTACATCCAAAAATAAATACATAAATACTACAGCATACTGAATTGGACTATTTTGCGTCAGGAGTAATTTTATTTTGCTGCTCATAATTTTGTACTTTTTCTTAAGTTTTTGAATGCAGGGTCTTTATAATGGAGGACCTCTCAAACCACTACAGTTACTCAATAAAAGATCACAATGTATCTGCTAGTGCTGCTCCTAAGTGTGGATCTCAGGTCACGTGAGAACAGCTGGTCATATGTAGCAGTTTGTAATCTAGTTTTAATGAATAAGATCTCTCAAAAACCTGTAGTATGTTGTAAACATAGCCTGTATTTCAAGTCCTTTTGCATTTTATTTTAATTTCATATTTGTCGTTTGTGGCAGACTTTTGCCCTGACCGTCATGGCCGTCGACATTTTGTCCAGTTCTTTTCTTTTTCTCTTTTGCCGCCTTGTTTTGACAGACACGTGCTTTTTTTTCTATCAGTTCTGTCCACATGCAGCTTGCGACTCATGTATAGTGGACGTCAGTTTGAGCTGGTGTAGAAATGATCCAGAAGTCCTTTTTTAGAATATTAAAATGCGTCTAAAGAAACATGTTGCTCTAGAAGTTGTAGATTCTGTCATGTCATATGAACATGGGGAGTGTTCACTACTAGAGCGGCTAATAATGACTAATTCAGTTCTTTGTTATATAAAATGTTAGAAAATTAAGATGAAAAGCTTATCACAATATCCTAGCAACATTATCAAATGTCTTTTTTTGTCTGACCAACAATTCAAAACCCAAAGACATGATTTTGTTATAGTTTGAGACCAGGAAAAGCACAGTGGAGAACCTGGAGTGATCAAATAGTTGGCTTAGTGCTAGTATCTGAAAAATGATTGAATAATGATGATTAATAAATGCTAAAATAATAATTGCCAATCATTTGCTGCTGATTGACTAATAAATTAAACAACTAATTTTTGACATTTTCACAGTCAAATGCTTTCAGTAGGTAACAAACTGAGCCTCTATGCTGCAGAGAAACAAAGGTGTTAAAGCGTAAATCGAATGGTTTTTAAAAGGCTTGAAACACTACAGGAAACAAAAAGTTTTAAGGACACACAGGTTTCATATGTATAGCTCCTCCTCAGAGTTTCTGACAATGCTCAGTTCATTAGGAGCGCCGCAAACCTCTGGCGGGGGGTGAATACCCTCTTTCTCACCTCTCTGCCCTCTCGGAGGTTCAAATTCTTTCGACTGCTCCACATGCCCTGCGATGGATTGGCGACCTGTCCAGGGTGTACCCCGCCTTCGCCTGATTGACTCCGGCCCCTCCGGCCCCTCCCGTGACCCTGTTCAGGGATTAAGCGGTAGAAAATGAATGAATGAATGAATGCTCCGCATGCATGTGTGTATTAGTATGCACGTGTGTGCACAGACACGGTTTCTTACTTTGTGTAGGTGGCTGCAGTAAATATTAGCTTTTCAAATGAACGTGGCCACCTTCAGGTATTTAAAGGCTGAAATTGAGAGGCTTTCTTTTTTCTCTTGGCGGGCTGCTCCAAACCAACAGCAACAGCTTGGTTACATTCAACAAACATTAAATAACCATTGACTTCTGTCTGTATCTTCTACTGAAGTCCATTTTGGATTTTGGAAAAGGAGGGGCTGAGAAAAGGCATTGGGTTCTTTGAATGTAAATAAACAGAAAACAGAAGAAGCCTGCTGCTTCATTCACTGCGATACCACTGGGTTACTTCATAGAGCAGAACATAGAATGTGAAGATGATGTCTGTAGCTAGACCTGACACACAGTAGGGTATGCTGCAGGGTGGCATCATGGGCCTCTCCCTGCCCTGGAGGAAGACAGACAGGCAGAGAGCAGTGATCTTATGGTCAGCTAGTAGCCACAGGCATGCTGTAAATTATACCTTGAAAACTGTCGGGGCACTCATTTTTTCCAAGAGATGTCCTCTCCCTATTCCAGAATGACAGACAAGCAAGTGACCTTTAAAAGGGTGAGCAAGCCTCAGAGAAGACAGCACAGAAACTGAAGGGGAGGTCTAGCTTTAACAGGAAGCGGTGTGTGTTTGTTGAAGGGATGTAGACTTATTGAGACAATACTGAAAAAGCAAACCTACCGTTTACCCTCTGCTCTGTCTGCCTCACCTGACAGTGGAAGTGCTAATGTGCTTATTAACATTAGACAGCAGTGCTGCTTGCGGCCCAGCGTCATCTAGTCTAACATTATGACAAGGTTACAGTTGGCAAATCAGTTACCAGAAACACAATAGAGAGGTATGCCTTCAGAATTCATGGGCTGTTTCAGTGGACGATGCTGTATGAAAGGAGCTTTCAGTTTCTATATTTGTCAGCTCAGGGATGCCAGCATCTGGGGCTCTTTGGAGGTTTTGAGTTGGCCTTACAGTTATTGGCTGCTTTTGGGTCACAGGAGCTTGTTTACTACATCGAAAAAGTTGATGCACTTTTGTGGCACAGACTGATTTTTATCAGTTTACTCTTGTTTGGATACTGGTTGAAAGAAAGGTCTTTAATTGAGCCTCTTGCTGTAAACCACAATCAGTGACAGAAAACTTGCAGGCCACCGTGTGGTAGGACACACTGGGCATTGTCAGGTTCTGATTTTTTTATTTTTTATGGGCTTTTGTGTCTGCTGTTTGTTTCTGGAGGAGGACACACACAGCTGAGGATAAACCAGACTTTTTTCATGTTGTTTTATTTATGAAAGTGCCTTTTAAATTGATGCTAGGCCACTGATATAGATTTACTGAAGAAAAACGAATTAGTGCTTGTAATGTTTGTGCGCTGTTACAATTTTGTGATTGCTTTGTCTTCTGATACTGTATAATAATGTTTAAAGGTCAGATAGATGGATCAAGAGAGGGGAGGCGAGGGTTGTCCCAAATCCATGTGACACTGTGTTTGTCCTCTTTGAGTTAAATTTCCTTGAGCGCCACATTCAGAAAGAGTCATTCATTCGTGTCCAGCTGCCAGCTCACTCTTCTAGCCTTCTCCTTGCTGCTGACAGGAAATTCTGACCTACAGTCTTTTTCACCCAGACGTGTCTAGAGAGAAAGATGGAAAACCTCGATGGAGAAATGTGTGTTAGTGTATGAGCACATACATCTGAGGCTGAGTTAGGATGTAGGAAAATAGTTATGTGTGTACTTTGCTGTGGGGAATCCTCCTGAACTTAGATCCACCTCTCTTTTCTGATCATTACCTTTCCTCTTCCACTTCATTTCTAAAAGTCCATCTCTTGTACCCTCTCCTAGCTGTATGCTGAAGTGGTTATGAAATGGGTTTTTGAGACACGGTAAGCTCAGCACTGTGGCTTTTTCTTCGCCAGCCTCTCTGCTTTTTAAACCAGAAGCTCTTTTTGTGGAGCTGGACTCTCTCGCATTAATGTAGTTGTTAACAGCTTGTGGTCACCAGGCGGTTTCTGTCGTGCTGCTGTTAGAGCTGACACACTCACCGAAGGCAGAGAGAGGCTGTGTGGAAGCTCTGGATCCCAAAACAACCGGGTACAGAAGGATGCTGTCCTGCCTGTATGTATATCTCTGGTGCTACCATTGGCATATTTTGATTAAGAGCTAAAAGATGCGATTACAGCTTGTTCAGATCTGTGTGATCTTGACAACTCTGGGTTTGAATGTTTTTGTTGTTGATCACAAACCAAATTCACAAAGGTGCAAACAGGTGCAGCCTTTTCAGAGAATAAATAAAAAGGTTGTTTATTGTTTGGTCAGATTTTTTTTGTTTGCTTTCTTTTGTTCTCTTACCTAAAATTCAAAGCGAAGACTCGCACTGCAAGACTCAGATTGCTTTACACAGGACAAACGGAGCCTGTCAACGAGATTTGTTGTGGTTTCTAATACAGCTGGTTTTAATAAAATTTGTGACACATGTCACTTTCACATCTCATAGGGAGAGTAACAGTGAGAGAAGGAACAGCGCTCATAGATGTTACTGAGATTCACTAGTGGCTGTCTATTAAATGTCCTGACGTAAACACCTCGAGCTCCTGCCACACACTTCTCTGACAATTGTTTGGTTGGTGCCAGTGTCTAATAAACTGTGGGTGTTGTAGGAAGTAAGATTACACTGACTTTTAAATTACACACGGTGTAACACAGCTCTGGTTCTACTCTCCTGTGCTTGTCAGCAAAATGTCTGCTGATAGCTGGCGATACAGCAAATTTGAATTTATGAGTGAGTTTTGGCTTTGCTGTAAACACAACAGATGACTGTAACTGTAAGTGTATGTGTGAGTCTGTGGTTCAGGTCTGTTAAATCTACTCCGTCTGTGTCTCTCATCTCTGCAGGAGTCGGAAGATCCAGATCCGGAACATTCCCCCTCATCTACAGTGGGAGGTCAGTTGTTTGTCCATGTGTGTCTCTCTGTGTGTGTGTGTGTGTGTGTTTAACAGTGATGCTCAACTGAACAGCACCAGGTAGCACACAAATCAGTTTCCAACAATGACTCACCAGCCTTTGTACTGTATTTCTTTGTAGAATGCAGTGTGTGTGTGTGTGTGTGTAAGCCTGTATCTGTGCTTATATCTACACCAGTGTTTGTTATTATGTGAATGTCATGTGTCTGTGCTTCAACATCTGTAACCTGGCTCATGTCTGCCAACTTTCTCATGTTGTATTTGTCAGTTGTTGGTTTGTCAGAAAACTCACAAACCCTCCGAAACCCGAATTAGACATATCAAGTGTGGAACCAATCAGTCTGTTTGATTAATTAGTCAAAGTTGCCAAGTAATTTTCCTTAAATTTTGATACACTTCTGGAAAATCAAAGTCCAAACCCAGAGACGGAAAAAGTACACACATTCGTTACTCAAGTAGAAGCCGTTATTTCGCAACTATTAAAGTGAAACACACCGACTGCACTGGGTGACATGTTTCTTGACCAGTGTATGTAAAGGAAGACTCAGCTGTGCATGTGTGAGATCTCTGTGACCGTAAACAAAGCAGAGAGCTTGTAATGAAGAAACATGTCACCCAGTGCAGCAGCGTGTACATTTTGCAGCAAGTGCAAAATAAAAATAACTGATAATTCCCCTCGAATGTATTAGAGCTAAAAGTAACAAGCCTGATTTGAAAAATGTAAGGAACAGAAAGTATAGTAAGAAAAATATATACTCAAGTAAAGTACAGATACTTGAGAAATCTACTTAAATACAGTAATGAAGTATTTGTACTTTGTTATTTCCCACCTCTGTCCAAACCAAACCATAGGCTGCTCATTCATTCTTTACTTTTTATTTAATAGATTATATTTAGTGTAGCACATCTTAGACAGGTTAAATGCTGAGTGTCAAATACAGGTGTGTTTACCAGTGCATGAAAACATTTTTTATTAAGCTTCACACATTGTAGCTGCAGTAACAGTGTATGTGTATGAACCCTCTTTGAGGTACGCACATACACAGTGCGTATACTAATGTGTGTACTGCGTGTACTAATCATTAGTCATGCTAACTTGATACTAAATTGTTACTGGACCTGTGTGTATGTATGTGTGTGTTAGTGTGCACATCAGCGTGTCTGTAACCGTGTCTTTGATGCACTATCTTGTGTCTCCATTAGGTTTTGGACGGCCTTCTAGCTCAGTATGGTACTGTAGAAAACGTGGAACAAGGTACAGAACCCTTCACCTCCCTGTTTGCTGCTCATATCATCACCAGCTGGCTTCAGCTGTTCAATGCACACATGTCTGTTTAGCAGCACACACTCCCAGAGACCTCCCAGTGAGTCAAGTCTCCCAGTGTGACTTGACTTACTCGTTGCCATCATCCCACACGCCCATTATCTAAACATAACCCATCGCTGCATACAGATCACCCTTTATCATCTTCTCTGTCTGTGTGTGTGCATGTGTGTCTTGTAAGTTTGACCCAGGAAGAGGCGCACTTGAATTACATACAGCCTCTATAATAAGTACTGTGTATTGCCACAGGTCCCCTTGGCCTCAGCTTATGGACTGAAGCGGCCAGGCATGGCAGACGTCCTGTAGTGATGTCTGTGTGTGTGCATGTGTGTGTCTGTTTTAGGGAGTTGCATCGTGGTAATGGGGGAGGACACTGTAGGCGCCTGTGGTAAAGCTTTTGCACTGTCTGAAGGAGTGTGTATGTGTGGGGGTGTGTGCAGAGTAGTCAGAACTACAGCTACTCCTAAAAACTTTTTACCGCATACACACGTGCATGAATAGTAGATGCACATGGGGAGAAACAAACACCCACAAACGCATTCATAAAATACTCATACACACATGGTGCCACTCTGTGGTGGAACCAGCCAAGACCAACTGCTGCCCACTGCAGTCATGACAGGTGCTAAAAGAGAATCCAGCAGAGAAATTACTCCACTCAAACACTGCCATAAAACAGTGCACTTCATGTGGACTGTACCAGAGCCCAGTGCAGCATTTCTTCTTCTTCCTTCTTTGTCCTGACTCCTTAGTGCCGCCTCCCTCATGTCTTGATTGCTCTCACTCTCTCCCTGTCTAACATCCTGCCTGCCCACCTCCTGTCTTGTCACTTCTTTTCTGCCTACACTGATGCACTCTGGTTACGGGATTTGGAGGAGTCCCATGTTCTTGCGCGGTAAGGTGAAGGTGGCCGCTGGTGGGGCGGGGCAGCCCTGGCTGTGAGCACCGGGGGTACCGCACCAGGCTCCGCCCACTCACCCTCTCTGAGCCAGCTGGGGGCTCTCACAGGGTTTAACCCTTCCAAACCTGCTGTTTGGGGTGCATCAGCACGTTTGGAAGGTTTTTATTTTCACAGACATAAAGACTTGCTCTGATGCCTATTTTTATTTCTTACACATTTATAACAACTCTCAGGAAAAGTCCTCCCTGAAGCACTTCTTTCCCTCTCTATGCGGTATTGGCAATCTACCCTGCATCCCTTGGCTCATTTATTTTAATGATTGGAATTTTTTTTTTTTTTTCTCCTAATGTGCCAGACATTGTAGTGGCATTTAATAGCACATTTTTAAGCAATCTTAAGCATCTGCAGTAAATGTTTTTTTCTTTCTTTCTGCTGCTCTGGCATCCATCCTAACAATCAAAGAGCAGTGGCTTGTTTGCAGACTCGCCATTTTGACATGTAGTGATTACACAAACAGAGTTTTATGATTAACAAAACAGCAACACAGACATATCATCAATAAGACATTTCCCTTTGTTTTGCTATCACTATCACATTGCTTTATCACTGAAAATTACATTTTCCATAAGATAAAAAGGGTTTTGTGCAAAATGAGGGAAAATAGAAGCAGAGGCAGAATTAAATAGAACAGGTTCGGGACGCATATATTTTCACCAAGTGAATATTCAGGTGATATAATTTTTCATTTTTCTCTCTGACAACAGGAGAAAAGTGACATTATTGCAGTCTAGCCTCAGCAGTTTTTTATATTTAATTTGTCTTTCACTTGCGAGTTGCAACAAACCCATCAAAATTTCCAAGCACAAATTGCTGGTTGTGTCTGAGCAACCCATCAAAATACAAAATGTTCGCTTTGCTTTATTTATGTGGCAGAGAAAAGCAGAAAATTGTTGTTATTGAGTATTAAGAGTTAAATCTAGGAAACTTTATGTAGTTTCAGTTTGAAAAAATGTCATTTCCTTATCAAAATAATTTTAAAAAAGTACATGCACTTCCCCAAAACCCTTCTTTGCATCAGGTACATAGGCCAAGATGCAATACTATTAAAATAAAAAGATGGCCCGTACACTGATTTGATGCTCCAAAAATGATATTTATTCAGGCCAAGCTGCCACACCAACAATGTCAAAATGACAAATGTCAAAGCCTGGCAGCTTGGCCTGAATAGATAGTACAAGGGAGGGAAGCCAGCATAGTGATGGCTGCGATCGATGTACACGAACAAGCGGCTCTCCGGGTCACCATGGGAACCCGGGCGCGTGTCAGACTCACCTCAGGCATCATCAAAGACCTGTTATGTACATGTGTAAATGTAGCCCAATCTCATGTGTTTTGCTTTCTTTCTTTGTCTTTCTTGTTTCACAGTGAACACTGATACAGAAACAGCAGTGGTGAATGTTACGTACGCGACTAAGGAGGAAGCTAAAGTGTAAGCAGCACAAATAATAACTCTGATGCAGCCAAGTTACAAGAGTAAGGCGTGTAGGCATGGGCAAGCAGCTGCAACACGAGAAGCATTGTTCACATATTTGTCTGTACTTTGTGTGTACCTGGAGGATTAAATGGTGTATTGGCTAAGGTCAGAGCAGGGCCGGATCAGCCCTGGGCAAACTGGAATATCTTCTGTGAGAACCTCCAATTTTGTGTACATAATTAAAGACGGTGACATCCAAGGATGTTAGTTGTATAGTTAATGTTAAGCTGGTGCAGAAAAAAGCAGCAGTGGCAACAACGTCTATTAAAGTGCGTCCACATTAATCTGGCACATTTTTCTCATCATGTCAGACCTCTGTCCACGCTGCTGCTATTTATTCTCACCCAGACATTGAGCCTTTTTAAAAATGGTCTCAAATGGATTTAGGAGCTTGCTGATTTATTGCAGAAACCTGGAGATTTTGAAAGTGACAGTGCAAACCTGCCCAGACCCGTTGAGTGCGGATGCATAGCTGTAGAATTACAGCCTCTGAGATCTGTCATTCTAAATGTCAGTACTTCAAATCATGTAGCACTGTGGGTGACATTAAAATATGCAAATTTGAAAAGCTAAATTGTTTTTCCAATGTTTGTTTCCAGTCTATACCAGATGTTAGTTGTGATGTGCAGTTTGCATGTTTACAGATTGAACAGAGGACAATATCCACGCTCCTACTGTTTAGGCGCCACAGAGTGTGGCCAGAGATGTTGACAACAGTAACCTTTGTGGACAGTCAACTGTGTTTTTTATTCACTGTGCTGCTAACCTAGTTTTACATCTTTAAACACTATCTCCATTCTTCACATGCTTAAATGCATCCTACAGATGTTTAGTGTTAATTTCTTAAGAGGCACACAGTCAATGCTCCAACAAAAGGCAGGATACAGGAGGTACCGTAGCATCATATCATGTGCACACGTAGTTTAAAGCAAGAATATCATAGCAGTCTATGTCATTGTTCTTTGTATTCATGATTTTATTTACACAAATAAGTATTGATTTGTACCCTATACCATTTATTCATCTTTTCCTCTTCCTTGTCATGCCTCCATTCTATTCTTCTTCCATTCACTCTCATGTTACCGCCTGCTCCTCCTCTTCCATCCTCCCAGAGCCGTTGAGAAGTTGACAGGACAGCAGTTTGACGACTGCTCCTTTAAGGTGTCATATATTATGGACATGGATGCTGCTCCGCCCGTCGAGGCTCCTCGTGCACGCCGTGGGGGCCGATCATCTCGGGACCATGGTGCTTCTCAGCCCGGGCCCTCAGGAGGCTCTGGTGCTCCACGCCCCAGACAACACGACTTCCCCCTGCGCATGCTCGTGCCTACTCAGTTTGTGGGAGCCATCATCGGCAAGGAGGGCCTCACCATCAAGAATGTTACCAAACAGACACAGTCCAAGTAAGATGCACTGGATCCTCACTTGGTTCCTGCTGGTTTTTGTCTGTTAGTCACAGTTTTATGAACATCCCAGATTTAGTGGAAACTTGAATTAATTAAGCATTTTGTCACCGTAGCTAGGAATGCGTCTGAACACCAGCTGTCTGGGGTGTGATGCAGAACAACACAAAATAAAAGCTTGTCAGATTACTGGAAATGGGCAGCCCAAAAAACCATGGGTTGAGGATGGCATGTTTACCGTTGCCTTTTCTATACTTGTGAAAAACACACCTAGATTCATTTCCTTTTCTTATGCTCTTCTTCAGTTTGCAAGGTGCTTAATGACAAACCTCATTAGTCTGCATCTCTGCCTTCCTCAGGGTGGACATTCATCGGAAGGAAAATGCGTGTGCAGCAGAAAAGCCCATCACCATCCACTCTACTCCTGAGGGCTGCTCCTCTGCCTGTCGCATGATCCTGGACATCATGCAGAAGGAGGCCAGCGAGACCAAGACGTGAGTCTGTGCTACAACATACACAATCCTTCATAAATGCACAGGGATGTCTGCAGTGCACAGGGGGATTAGCCATAATGTCTGCAGTTCTATAATCTTATCCTTTAACATGCCTGCACACCTTTTAATCTTTCAGTGTATTCTCCCGCTTAGACCACTAGCAACACACATATAACACACACACACCACACTCATATAGGCTAACACAGGATTGCACATTAGCTTCTGACAAACAAGGTCAATGTGTCTAGTGGGGCGTGGTAGTTTTAATAAGACTTCTGCTCGATCTGAACATCAGCACCCACCTTTGACACATAACACCAGTGTTTGTTTGTCAAGGGGATGACTCTCTGTTACATTGCATCCTAGATTCCTAGATTGCATTTGAATATAAAAATCTTTCCACAGCCTTTCAGTTCACATAAGATGATTTAAATACGTTTTGTCAAAGGTCCCATGTGTGCATTCAGAGGCCTCTCATTGCAACAGAACATATTTCAGGCTGTTTGATGAGTAATTGCATACTTGTACAACTTTGAAAAATGGTCTAAATAAAAATTTCCACCACATCATATTTTGCTTTTTGCCAAGCACCTGACATTCAGATAGCGTTTAAAAAGTTTATGCCACATCTGTATCATCCTCTTATTTTCCAGCAGGGTGATGTTCAAGCCAGTTAAAGTTTAGTATTATGCTTACAGACTGGAACAGCAGCTAGCCTGGCTCTCAGTGCAACAGACCTGCCTCCCAACACCTCTAAAGGTCCCTAAATAATAAGTTGCACCCTGTTTGATAAATGTTTACAAAACCAAAGTGTAACCAATGACAATTTGCTGTTTTATATTTTAATTAGTGAGCTTTTGGGGTCAGGTACTGTAGGTGGATTTGTTACCTTTGGGTAGAACCAGGCTAGCCTGTATTTCAAGTCTTTATGCTAAGCCGCTGAATGGTTGCTGGTTGTAGCTTGATACAGTGCATTTACCATACTAACATGAAAGTTGGATCAATCCTCTCATCTATCTCTAGGCAAATGAACAAATAAGTATATTTCCCCAGAAATGTCAAACTCCTTTGAAGTTTAAAGAAAGAAAAACAGTAAATGAACACCAGCAATATCCTCCTCAGTGATTCAGAGAAATATAACCCAGACAGTAGTATGTGGGCCACGGCTCTAAATACACCAATATTTTCATTTTAAATTAAACACACACTTGGAAGTGAGGGGAAAAAAATCACTCTGAAGACTTATAATATCAGGAAGCACCATCAGCTTTTTGATGACATTTACAAAGGCTCTGATTTCTGTTGAACTTGAAAGTAATTGTTATAAATTGCTTTAATTAAAAGCGCCCACCAGTGTGTGATGTGATGTAGCCTGTCAACAAGAGTGTGATGCACCTCAGTGTGTCAAATCAGTAATCCTGCTCCCAAAAGTCACAACAATGTCCACACCACTGCTGCGTGCCAAGTAAATAACACCACCCTGGTGCCACACCTGCAGAAATAGACCTACTGCCTCAGCCGCCCCACACCCTGTCTAATGAGGCCCAACGCCTAGTGAAACCTAAACCACTAAATTAGGCCTCTGAAACCAAAACACGGTCACCTCCCCTTACGTGCCTCACAGCTCACCCCAAACTAATTTCATTTTACAGGCACAGATCTTCACTTACAGATTACAGCACATCCTGACCTCCTACCCCCTCCCCTTCACCACCCCCACCACTGAGTCCATGACCCAGCCCAAATGAAACCCCCCCCCAATATCTGCTTACCCTAGACCACACCCCGCCACACACACCAACAACTCGACATTGTCCGACACAACAGAAATATAGATTATACCAAAACTGCATTTCTCCAGTTTTAAGAGGCAGTTACCATCCCAGCTACACGTGTCCCTTTAATGCTTTATTTTATTCATATGTTTTCAGATAAGTTCCTGAAGATTTCCTGAAAAGAACTTTGACAGTCATTTTAGAGAATTTCTACAGTGCAAAAGAAATTGGGACTCACTTTATTCAAATTATAGTTTTTGCAGATTGTTTGACATAAAGGCGCAATATTTAGCTGTGCAACAAAATATGTGTATGTCCTTAATTCTGGTTTTAACAAGGGTTATTAATATTTGAAACTTTATTCTTGTGATCTGACGACCACAGTGTGCGCTGCTTGCTTAGAGAGTCAGCAGCACACACTGTGGCCATCAGATCATTTTTGTTTTCACTTAGTTTTTCTCTTCACCTTGTATTACCAGGAGCATTTTTGAGCTGTGCTTGTTTGCAGCAGCATCCTGTTTATTAGACTGCCGTGATCCTTGCTGTGGTGTGTCCTCACAGAAGGAAGCGCAACAACTTTTGGGTGCCTAGAGGCACAAAGTCGGCATCAAAATATGTTGAAATCAATCTGCTTTTTGTAAAAATCTGGGTATTTTTCCACAAGATCTGTAAAAACAAAGAAAGTATGAACCTAAGATTGTGGTTAGGCCAGTGTCTTAAGATCGTGCCCTCCGCTCGCAGCAGCTCTCCCAGCCTGGCAGCTGTCCACATTCCTGTTCCTCCACATCACACCATAACATTCCCCACACCACATCAGTCAGAAATGATCATCCAGCTTAACCTGCGTGTCTGTTTATGTGTTTGTGTGTGTAGGACGGAGGATATCCCTCTAAAAATCCTCGCTCACAACAGCCTGGTGGGTCGGCTTATTGGAAAGGAGGGCCGCAACCTGAAAAAGATCGAAGAGGAGACAGGGACCAAGATAACCATCTCCTCGTGAGTCGCCTCCCCTGCTGCACACAAACACATACACTGGAGGATTTGAACAAGTGAGCAATTATACAAAATAAACATGGCAAAGAAAATTTTTGACTATTATTAACCAGAGTACAAATAACAGGCAGTGATTTCAGCTTCTAGTTTCTCCGTCTGTACTCATCAGCCTTTTAACACGTGGCTTTATTTAAATGTAATGTAGCGAAGAGTTGATAAAAGATCCTTCACTCACGAGTTCGAGATCATGTTCACCGACTTTCAGAGAGGAGGTGAGAGCTGAGGACAGAAGGAGGGGGTCCTTTTGTGAGGAGGCAAACTAAAAACTCCATACAATACAATCGGTGACTTCTTTTCAGTGTCCCTCACATCCAACAACACAAAGGACAGAATAGATTGGTTCTGCTTTAAAGACCTAAATGTGTTATCCTTTGCACAGTGCAACGTCCAGCCTAACTGTCTTATCATGTTTGATTCATGTAATAGACTGGAACCTTTGTGTTTCACAGATTTGGTTTCACTGTGACTGCTGTGCTGCTTCCTGACTAGTGCGCTGGTCAGCTCGCCTGCTGTTTAGGGCTCTTGTAACATGAGACAAAACACTGAGAGCATCATAGTTGCAAAAATGTGACTAATGGTGGTTATATTCAGACACTCAAAGTGATTTGTCAGCTGTACAAATTACAAAATTAAAATATTGTTACACTAACACTGTTATAGTTTCCTCTTCAAATGAATGAATGACACATTTCTGCTGTATATGCATGTCACATGGGACATGGAATTTGAATTTATTTTATATCAGAGTTGTGGTAATTATGAGTTTTCGACTTCTAAATAAAGTTCACGTCACTTTTAAAAGTTTTTTAAAGTAATGGACCTGATGCTTAGTAACACAAAAGTGCTTCATAACCAACTACACATGGATTTCTTATATCAGCCATTCTGTCGCTCGGTGTATTTAAACCCACTTTTGATAGAGATATTCAGTGCACACTGCCAGCTCAGCAGCCATGCAGTCATCTTGGATTGTCCGTTGATTAAATTCAAAAGACATTAACATGAGAATGTTTTTCAATAACACTTAGATGAACACAAAGAGAGGAAATCCAATTAAAAACAACTCAATCTCCTCCACTTTGTGGGAAAATATGTGAAGAGAATATCACTGTGCCACTTCTCTTTATTTATGTTTGCATATATTCATTTGTATTTGTGTGTGTGTGTGTGTGTGTGCTTTTCTTTGCAGGTTACAAGACTTAACCATTTACAACCCAGAGAGGACCATCACGGTGAAGGGCAGCTTTGAGGCGTGTTGTAAAGCTGAGGTGGAGATCATGAAGAAACTGAGGGAAGCCTATGAGAATGACATTGCTGCTATAAGTGTAAGCTTCTTCATTCATTCATGTGTGGTCTGGTATTACTGATGTTGTAGAGACATAAATCTGTTTACACAGTCACACTGTGGGGACTTGACATCCTTATGGGGACAAAAAGCAAGTCCCCAGAATGTAAATCATTACCCTTTACAATGATGACTTGGATTAAGGTTAGTGCGAGTTTCCGGTAGATGGATGTAAGTCAGTGTAATGTCCCCTGAAGTAATGGAGACACAGCATGTGCGTGTGTGTGAGCTTATGATCTCAGGTTGACTCACGCAGGCTGACAGGTGAACAGCGGAGAAGACTGATGATATACACCAGGAGGACATTGCCTCCCCATTCAGTACATGTTACCACCAGGCTTAGCAACGTCCATTGTTGTGTGCTTGGTAAATGGATAACAGTAAACGATCGCCCAATTGCTCATCAGAGACTCCAGTGTTTGAGCACAGCACGTCTGCATACGTGTGTGTGTGTGTGTATGTATGTGCATGCCCCTGTTCCGTGGAACCTCTGACTCACGCTCACTTCCCTGCTGTGGGTGTCTGTGTTCCTGCTGTAACACACTGCGTTTCCCAGCATCCATCTGATATCTGTAGGCTGCTCTCTCACCCAGCTCCTCTTTCACACTGCCCTGATGACATCACCAGTGCTGCAGCCAGAGAGGTCAACCACAGAGGAAGAGAGATACTGATGATACCACACACCGCGCTCGCCCTATTGCACCGGTGCAGTACAGAGATGAGAATGCCGTTAAGTGGTTGTATTAGCAGTGATGATGCTCTTTAGGATGAGCAGCATTCACTTGTAAAATTAGTGTCCCAGTCTGTGCTTTCTGCTTTGCTACTTTCACACAAGCTGCGAGTTTTCCCCTTCATTCTCACTGTGCAAATATTGGCTCTGAAATAATCATCAAGAAGCAGCAAGCAGCATGCGGTTAAATTGTTCTGGCTGGTGTGAGCGGCGCTGGCACCTGTCAGGCCAGGCGTCTACAGTAAGCCATGAGGGCCATCTAGCGTGACGCTGCGGATATTACACAAAGCTCTTTGGGAACAAGGAAGTGAAAGGAGACCACATGTCTTGTCAAGACAGGAGTAGCTGACTTAGCTTTGAGGCAAGAGTTTTGTCATGTCATTACAACTTCAAAATGTCATGTGAAAACCACATGCGGCCAAAACTTCAACCATTCAAGAACTAAGGAAAACATTTTTCATATAGTCCAGT